ATAAAAAAATTTTAAAAAATAATTTGTATATTAAAAAAATATCTAAAACAAACATAAATTCTTATTAAATCTATCTATCTATCTATCTATCATCTATCTATACTATATATTAAGCAAAAGGGGGTTTTTAACCCCCAATGCTTGTAGGAGTTTCAATATCCCAATCTTAATTTTCTAAATTTTTTATTTAAAAAAAAAAAACCTTAGCATTTATTGACTTCTCCCAACCCACAAGCCTTTTTGACTTCTCTCATACCTACTCCTATACCCTTTTCAACTTCTCCCATAAATTATGGTTATTGATGGGATTGTTAAATTATTTTCATAAAAAAATTTTAAAAAATAATTTGTATATTAAAAAAATATCTAAAACGAACATAAATTCCTATTAAATCTATATATCTATATATCTATATATATACATGATATAAGTAAATGAGATTTCTAACCGCAAGTCTTGTGGGTGCTTCAATATCTCAAACTAAAATTTCTAATTTTTTGATTTTAAATAATTAAATTTCAATTTATCGATCCACTACAAGAAAATGCATTTTTAGCGACCACTTTCTCTCACTCATCACTCTGTCTCTGTCTCTTTTCTATTTGTCTCACACTTTTCCCTCTCTCTCATCACCCACCTCCTCTACCATATTCACCACTACTGCAAATGCCATTCCACTACCACCACAACTACCACTATTGCCACTTCACCTCTACAACTAACATTATTACCACCATCGTCACCACTCTACTACCACCACCACCACTATTGCCACTACTACTACCATTACCTCTCCTCTACCACCGCCACTCCATCTCCGCTACCACTACCACAACTTCAGCACTAATCTCCTTCGTCATCGCCACCACCTTCACCACTATTGCCGCTCCCTCTCCTCCACTACAAAAAATTAGTTCCTGATTTTTGGTAACCAAAAAAAATGGGCCGCAGAAAAATATTTTTCATTAACCACAAAAAATTAACTTTATTTTAACAAAAAATATTTTTCATTAAAATATTACCCCTACTTCTACCAAATAAAAAATAATAATAATTTTTTTTCATTAAAATAAAAATGAAACAAATAAATTTTCAACCTTAGTAACTAAAAAAAAATGAAAAATCAAAAGAAAAAAATTGCATTAACTACAAAAAAAATATTTTTTTATTTTAACAAAAAAATAAATAAAATCCCATAGTGTGATCAATATATATTCTCAGAAATAGTCAAAATCCTTAATTTTTCCAAATTTCCTCAAACCCTTTGGCGCCTATGATTTCTTTTTCCCTCTTCTCTCATTTTCACGTTTAAATCTCTCTCTCTCTCTCTTTCTCTCTCGCTCTCTCTCCATCTTCGCGCTACTCATCTCACTCTCATTCCGACTCCTCCACCGGCAAGCGCTCGAATCTGTAGAGCATCAATGTCGAAGCACACTATAATATAAGGAACCAGGGATTCTAGAGAGCTCAAATTTGTTGAGCAAGTTGTTGCCCTCGTAAATCCTAACATTGGTATGCATTCTCTTGTCTCTCTCTCACACTTTATTTATTTATATTTTATTTGTTTATCTTCAAGGCTTGAATCTCATGCTCTAGGTCGATGACCCTATGTGATCTCCAAATTCGCTCTTAATCTCCAAATTCGACTCCCTCAAGTAAAAGCTCATTCCTTTGTTTCACGGTTTATATATGTGTTTGCTTAATTTACTCTTTGAATTTCTTCTTTTTACCTTCATTTTTGTTCTACATGAAAATTTTTAATTTGAATATTATACAGTTTAAAATCACTATAATACTGAACATATGAATGTAAAAATACTGTATTTTGGTGTCAATCGTGATCAGTGATCAGTCAAATTAGGGACAAAGAGAGAGAATTATAATGTTTAAAAAAGTCTTGGACATGTGAGTTTTTTTTTTTCTCAAAAACAATTATGCTTCTTTTTGCATAGTTTTTGCCTCATGGCCCTCAACTATGCAAAATGGAACTTAAACAGCGTTTTTGCACCAACATGGTCTTTTATTAAGATAATTATGTCATGAATTTGATGACTGTAATGTAACTTGCAACTTTCAGTTCAGTAGCTGGATAATAGAAGTGAGCGTACTGAAATTTCTATTATAGTTGTATGTTGCTTTGATATTATGACCTTTGATTTCATGAAAACCTTGTTTATTTTTGCATATGTTTCTGTTTCCTGTTCAGGCATTGCATTCTAATTCCCAACTGAATTATTTTTACTGTACTTACAAGTTCTAATATCTGTAAAGGAAGAACTGGAGTCACCATTATCCCCTGCAATGGATGCCGTAATAAGAGTATTCAAACATGTCAATGGACTACCTGAGCGTGAGGGTGATGGTAAAGTGCCTGGAGCTACATTTTGTTCAATCCGATTTTTGGTGGCATCCACGCAAGCCATTAATCTAATTGGAAAGCAAGGCTCTTCAATCAAATCAATACAGGAAAGCACCGGTGCCTCCATTCGGGTTCTCTCAAGTGGTATGCTTTAGTTGCTTCAAAAGCTACTAAATTGTTTACTATTACTGGATTTTTTCCATGTGCATCATCTACAATGTTGCCTTTCGATTTTGGTGGCAATTATTGGCCTTATTGGTCTTATGCTAGATTGAATTTATGAATTTACAGTTGACAATTTTTTGTTCACATCATTTTTTCCCTTTCATGATTATACTAGCTTATTAATTTTTGAAAGTTTACTATGCTACCCATTGATTCATGACTTTATTCTATTTGATTTACTTGATTTACAGTTGGCATGATTTTGTTTAATCAGCAACGAAAGTGAATTGTATAGAGGGTGCACAACCTTTACACAACCGAAAAATAAAGAAAAAAATAAAGAAGAAAAAAAAAGTGCATAACATAGAAATAACCAAATCCCGATTACCAGCAGCCACAAAACATCAACAACTAACAAATAAAATTCAAACTAGTGCTAAATTTACGAAGGAAGCTCTATCATCATGTGTCATGATTTTCATTTTTTCTCCTTGCAGCTTACGAATAACAATGACAAAAAAATAAATGGGTTCTTCTCCAGCTTCTCCATGAAGACAAATAAAGGACTAACAATTTTCTTCAGGCCACACCTCCCTTAAAGGCTCACACCCCTTCTTACCATCATAATAATGAAACATTGAAGTCTTTTAATTTCTTTCTCCTTCTAGTAAATATTTAAGCCTCTATCCTTCTTCTCCATTAAAACCGGCTAATTCACTACTGGAGAAGTCTAATCTTCTAAAATGTTATCCATGCCTTTCAATTCAAACACCTTCCTAGCCACTTGTACAATTTGCTTCTAACTCAAGAATCCTCCCTCATTATTAGTGGTTGAAATCCATCATAACAATGAGAGCTAATCTTGAGCTTAGAAATGTTAGAATGGAAAGAGGTTTGGGCCTTAATTGTACTTGGATTCGTTAAAGACTTTGGATTAGGAGTTCCACCAATGAATTAGAATGCCTTTCCTTTTCAGCTTTCAGTAGAAACATACATTGTCTGTTGCAGCACCAAAAATTACAAGGAATATAGAAAAACGTAATGCTATTTAAATATGAAAAAGCTACTCAACTCAAAAAAGTCAAAATTAGCCAACCACATGTATGAAGTCTTAGATGTTGGTGTTAGAAGTCTGGCAGAGATATTATAAAGCTAGTCATCCTAGGCATTATATTATCTATGGATGGAGAATATTTGATGCCTATTGATGTACATAGTTCCAAACATATGAAGACATTTTTGTTTTGTTTTTTAAAATGGTTTCAGGTATTTTTCTTATTGGACTTTTGCTTTCTAATTACTTTAAGCTCCCTTTTCTTTCTTTCTCTGTTGTATGTTTGCATACTGATGACTAGGTCGGTTAATATTTTCTTCTGGCAGATGAGGTGCCACATTATGCCAACTCAGACAAGAGGATTGTTGAGATGCAGGGAGAATCTCTCAAGGTTCTTAAGGCTGTGGAAGCTGTGGTGGGCCACTTAAGGAAGTTCTTGGTGGACCAAAGCGTTCTTCCCCTATTTGAAAAGAGTGTGAGTCCTGTTACTATGAAGGTTTACGAAATTATAGATTATGGCACTGGTAACTTACTGTTGTTCTGCCTTTTTTCTATAGTACAATACACAAGCCTCACAGGAACGCCAAATAGAAACCTGGGCTGAGAAGTCATTGCTGCATAGTACTTCTCAAATTGGGATGGATGCTAATTATCCTCTTGCAGTGAAGAGAGATCCTCTATTTCACGACCGTGAAACCCAGTTTGAATCAAATATCCATTCTTCTGTAATTTCGCTGTATGGCCAAGATCCTGGACTTTCAAGAATGCGTTCTTCGGGACTTGGTCATGCCAGTGGTCCTTTTGAAACCCAGGTTGGTTTCAATTATTCATTTCTCTACTAGTGTCATCTCACATTTCACTTTAGATATTAATTCACATTTCACTTTAGATATTAACTGCTGTGATGTGGTGCACATTTCCAATCCTTTCTGTTTTGTTTATCTCAAGTTTTGGAAGTCTAATGAGGTAGCTAGGTGTAGACACCCCATTTTTGACCGCCCTTAAGACTCGGGCACTACTAATTGCTTATTTAGTGATGTAAGCTATGCTATGCAAAGGGTCGATTTTTTTTGGCAAGGAGAGCGTCAAATCCAAACCTCACACCCCTTTTTTAGACTAATCCAAACCTCACACCCCTTTTTTGGACCAAAACTATTTTGAATATATTTTAGACCTTGAAACCCTCTCTTTCAAAATAGTTTTTGAAAAATGATTCTACGATGTTCCGACGCTCGCATATTGTTAAATGTTGCGCTTTTCGGTAAACCGAGCAAGGACAAAGTAAAAATGAATGAAAGAGAGATGAAATCTTTAAAAAATATTTCAAAGTGCCTTGTTTAGGGATTTGGAGTTGAAGAAAAGAGGAGAAGAGGGAAGAAACTAAGTTGGGGAAGCATATAGGCATGAATCGTTAAGAGAGAGTCGAGCATCCCTCGCTAAATCAGGCCTATCCTTTTGAATACTTAGATTTCAGCTATGAGGCCACTACTATTGGAAATATTACTTCCAAGGCTTCATTTTTCACTTAAGAATCTCCTAAAGCCGTGTCCGAATGAGGGAGATATAGCTGGTTGAAATTAGGCATCAATCTGGTTGGACCGAAACTAAGCAGTCTTCACTAAAAGAGAGATATCTCTTAGCACACTTTGAATTTTGATGCAAGGCTTCCACCATTGGAAATCTTGCTTCTAGGGCTTCAGTTTAGGCTCAAGAATGACCTGAAAAGGCATCCATATGAAGGAGTTATGCTTGCTTCAAGTCGGGGACCAGGACTGATTTTTGCTGCTGACCACTAAGGAGTGTGCCGACCACAAATGGAGCATGCCGACCATATGCCGACCAGAAATGATCGTTGTCGACCAGAAAAAGTGGTCGGTCGACCATTTGGGGTGGTCGGTGGACCACTTATTTCCAGAAAGCCCAGAATCTGCAGATATTTTGCTCCAGCTATTCCAGACTGTCCTAGATATTTCTGAATTGAGATATTTCGACCAATGCTCATATATTGCTATATATTGAGCCATATCTCTCATTTTGCAAGGGTTGGCAATTGTGGGAGCTTCTCACACTAAAAGTCCTCTCTCTAGAAATTTTGGAGCTGAAAACTCTCTCTCTCTCCCTAGAAGCCCCTCTCTCTTCTTGTTTTGAGCCTTAAGCTTAGAATCCTCTACACTTTTGCAACGAGACCCTTAACCAAAGTTGATCACCATTGGGCTGAGGTCCCTTGGAACCTATTTTTGGGCTGTTGGAAGGTTGTTTGGCTCAGAAAAGAGGCTGATTTGCTGTTGTGCTTCAAAGGTAACCCCTTATCCCTTTTAAGCTCTTTGTGCACTATTGTTTTGCCATAGTTTTCAACTACTTTGGGGCTGTTTTTGGGGTGGTGTTGAACTAAAAAAACCTCTGTTTTTACTCTATTTTTCAGTCCTAAAAGTGTTGGTTTGTGCCTTGTTTGGCTAAGGGGTTGTTCTCCCTTTTTGTTCCTTGGCTTGTAAGGCCTTTTGTGCAACTTCTCACCACCTTCAAATTTAAATTTTTGGGCCTTTTTACCACTAAAACTCAGAGATTTTTTAGTAACAAAAACCATGTTTTGAGGTCCCAAGTAGGAGGGGGTGGTCCCCTCTCCTCGTCTTATTAGCATGTATTGTTGGCCTATCAAATGAGCATGTATTTCTCCCTTCTTGAAGCTTAGTTTGAGCATGTTTTTGTGACTTTTTTTAACATGTTATAACTCTATTTTTAGTTGGTTCGATCATTTGTTGCATGCTTCTTACACTTGTAGTGTAAATCCTCTTTGCTAGCCTTGCATGCCTAATGAGTTAGCTTGTTATTATAGCATGTGTTGGCTTAGTCTCAGCCCATTTTTGGTGTTATTTTGACATGTCATAACTCTATTTTTGGTTGGTGGAGCCACCTCTTGCTTGGTTTTTGCACTTGTAGTGCAATCATGCTCATTAGCCTAGTGTACTTGGTGTTTTGGCATTCCATTCTAGCATGTGTTAGCTATACTCCATGCATGTTTTTGGCATTTTTTTGACATGCTTTAGGACTGTTTTGTGTGTTCTTAGCCTTATGGGGCTTGCTTTGTGTCGCTATACTATAAATGACTTCACTAGTCTTGAGTTTTGAGGCCCCTACTATGCTATACTTGTGATGTTTGCATGCCTTGGAATCATTTGGCATGGTATTTTAGAGCTTATATCTTTGTCATACTCTCATGTTTATCACTCTTTAATTGTGTTTTTATGCCTTGTTTATGAGCCATCATATGAGCATGCATTTCTAGCTTCTTGTGCCCAAGTTTCAGGATGTTTTGGCCTCTGTTTTGGCATGGTTTAGGTCTGTCCATAGTTGGTTTAGTCATTTAGGCTTGGTATTGCATGCCTCTTGTGAAATGCTCTATACTAGCTTTGATGTTTTTGGCCTTCAACATGTTATGCTTGCATTGTTTGCATGCTTTAAGGTCTTTAGCATCCTTTTTCAATGCTGAAATGTATGCCATTGCATGCCATCTTTCATTTGTTATATCGCTTTGAAAGAGGTCTTAAGCCCTTTGTTGGTTTGAGTGTGAAATCAAGGCGTTCATGCCTAATGGTTTTAGCCTTCTTTTGAAGGTTTCTACTAACCAACGGCATGATGCTTCTTTCATGCTCAAGAAGCTTATGGCTTGGTCTGTCTTTCCAATTAAAGGATGGATTGGTAATCTAAAATGAGTAAACAAAATTAAACCAAGTAAAACATGCCAAGATAACATGCTTGAGTTGCATTGCATGTGTTTGGATCGAACGTTAATCCAAACACGAGGAATGTGGCACATTTCATACTCAAAGTGATAAAATGTGTAGCATTTCTTGGTCGCCGACCCTCTTGATCATGCATGATAGAGGTGGAGGCTCTTATTTGTTATTTGTGCATTCATTGACTCGTGCAATCTTGGTTTCTCGGCCATCGTGCATTGCGATGCTTGGTTGGCGGCCCGAGAGTCGAGAACCACACTCCCTTGAGCCTGAGAAATGATAGGGAGGGTGGTTGTGCACACATATCTTGCAAATACACTGCTATGCCCTTTGTTGTTCTCTGTTACATCAAAACTAGAGTTTGGAGAATCAGCTGGTCAACCGACCACAAGAACTAGTTGACTGACCAGTAAGGGTGGTCGGCCAACCATTTTTTCTGGTCTACAGCCCCTTTTTCTGGTCGGCAGTCCACCAGAGGGTCCTTGTGTTGGAGCAGAAGTAATCTGGAAGTTTGTGTAATTTTCAAAGATCAAATCAAGTGCAAACAAAGGCAATTGGTGGCATAGCAATGGATTTCCGAGCGAGGCAATCGAGCATGCATGCATCCCTCATTCCGAGGCCTTCTAACTATTTTGCTTAGCTAAGTTAGCTTAGTCGTTGTTGTAATTGATTAGTTAATGTGTTTAATTAATTCGGTTTGTAACAAATTAGCTAGATTAGCTAGTTGTTCCAATTTTGTAATATTTAGTTAACTAGGAATAGTTAATTAGTTTTGTTTTGTAATAATTAGTCTAATTAGTTTAATTAGATTAGCTGGTTAGATTAGTTTAGTTAGCTTAGCTCATTATTCGGACCCTCCGTCGAGAGGGCAAATGTTGTAATAAGCGTGCGTGTGTGTGATGCATGTCTTCTAACCCCATTTCTTTCTCCCTTTTACTTATCAGCTTTTGATGGTTAGTTTAGGGCATATTTCAATTAGCATCCTTATGCTTGCATGCGTGCATCATTCATTTGTTTTGCATGCACCGGGCTCGGCGCATCATACAAACTGCATCGTATTTCAATACCTATTTGAATACATGTATCAAAGTGTTGCATTCATATGCCATTTTAGATAGCTGAGCCTATTTAGTTGCATTACTGCATGTGTTGCATTAGGTATTTTAACATAGCTAGGATCATGCATGATTTTTAACTAGTTCTCTGTTTTGGTTTGGAGTACACTGTAAGTGTTTACGCTTTAGCATACTTAGATGTGTGTGAGTGTTGCCATGATAGCATGCTTGCCATGAGGCTATTTGCTTAATTGTTATAACTGCATGAATGCATGTGGATGAAGGCTTCATTACTTGAATTGGAACAATTCATCAAATACGAGTTTTAAGCCCACTTGAGGGTGGCAAATCATCATGTTTTTCTAAGCCCACTTGAGGGTGGCAAATCCGCGCTTTAGACTACTTGAGAGTAGCACTTTCAAACCATTTTTCAAAAATAAACATGAGATGTGTTTGTTCCAATTTGAGTGATTTAGTCTATACTTGTATGTTGTGCACATCACGTAGTAAAGCTAGAATAATAACCGGAATAAGAACACATGTGTTTATAAAAACAACATATCTTATTAGTAGAGGCCGATCTTTGATCGGGCGAGCGGGGGTGCTAATTTCAAGACCTTCCCCTCTCGTACCCAAGTTCCCGAGCCGAGACAACTTTGGTGATGACGGACACGTGGCCTTAGGCATGAGTCAGGGTTTCCTAAATTTCCCAAAAACAAAATATTTAGGTGGCGACTCTGAAATCTGGCAAAGCAGTCCATGTTTGGCGCTTTTTGATTAAAATTGATTTTCCAAAACCAATTTTCGGATTTGGACTCTTTGGTGATTTATCAGTCTCACATTGCACTTTGCGAGATTAGATTCAGAACCGTGACAAGAGTCCGAACTGTAGTAGCTAAGAACACAATTCACGCCTTTGCGCGCGGAGCAAGTTCGTGCGGTCTACACTAGGCTACAGAATGGCCATATATTAGCTTTTTTGGCTAAAGTAACCATTAAAGACAAAATGTCACATCCTACCCATGAATCAATTACTTTTTCTCTCATAACCATCTATTCGACTACAAAAAAAAAAAAATTCCATAAATCATCCTAAACACAACTTTTTTCCATCTCATAAAATAGTCAAAAAGTCAACTAAAATAGTCAAGTTTCCAAACGGGCCCAATTGTTTTGACAATGATTTAAATAAAATTTTCACATGATTGTGGCATCTGATTTAAGGCTTCATTTATGATTGTGTAAAATTTTGACAATATTGTTATTTTATCTTTGGGAAAAATGTTAAATGGGTTTTGTAGTATTATGTTGTGAACTTTAGTGATAATGTTTAACAAGCTCTTGGTTTTTGTTAGTTGGGTTGATGTGGATTTTGGTCTGCATTAAGATGGAATGTGTAATGTGTATACTTAATTCCAAAAAACAAACAAACAAAACAAAACAAAAAGAGTAAGAAGGGATGATAGATAAGGGAGAGAGAGAGAAAGAGAGGTGCAGGAGATGGGGTGGCACTTCTGGACATGGCGCCTGACAGAGAGAGAGTAGGGAGAGAAGGATGGGGTGGGGTTGGGTGTGGCAGAGGCATTGATGGGCTAGTTGGGCTGCAACATTGGTGGTGGGTTGGTGGCAGTAGCAATCGGCTGGTAGCAACATCTCCAGTAATTGGATTTCCGTTGTCTATTGTTTAAAGTGAAAAACTCAGATAAAAAATGCAACAAATAATGAAAATGTGTGTTTGGTTTAAGGTATAAAACTATTCAAATGTGGAATGTGCTTGTTTGGATATTGTTAATAGTTAGAACCAAAGGTAAAATAAGCATTTTAACATAAAAATTGTTGATATCATCCTTTTCCTAAGATTAATGGAATAGTAACAATTTGGATCAAGTTGTAATGCAATTTATGTGCAAATCGTGGAACTAGTTGTAATTTCTCCAAACCTCAAACAAGAATTCAAATAATAGCAAGGTCATTGCCACTGTATTTATGGAATTCAATAATTTCCACTTCATTTTAATTTTAATTTTTATGTTATTTGTATTATTTGATCTTGGAATCATAATCTGATTAGTTATTGCTTTGCTTAATCAGATTGCACAAACAATGCAAATACCACTTTCTTATGCGGAGGACATCATTGGGATTGGAGGGGCAAATATTGCATACATTCGACGTACCAGTGGCGCCATCCTCTCCGTGCAAGATGAGATCACAGTTCACCATCAGTGGCCATGGACAGATCAGAAACAAAGGCTCAAATAATGCTCAAAATGCTAATTTTTTTGGGGACGTAGCTCTAGTTTTCACCATCATCTTAATTACTTTGATGATAGTACCAGTTTTAACAGTAGCTAGTAGCCATGGCAACCACAATGAACCGAGCAATGGAAGAGCAATGACACAAGGGGAAATAAATCCGATCAAGCAGCGGCACACAAAGCTCCTCCTCTTCCACTTTGATCAAACAGCAGCAGCGGCAGAACACAGAGACAGTTCCGCTAGGTTTTAGGATGACACGATGCTCCTCTCTCTCTAGTCTTTGCTCTATTCTTTCTTCTTCTTTTTTTTGGTTTGTTTTTGAAATGAAAAGTGTGGGTGTATTGCACAGTAGCAGCAAGTTGAGTGCAAAACTAAATTCGAGCCATTTCGAGCCATCACTTTTTGTATGTAACTTGTGTGCTTGACATATATGAATCAGCTTTGACCATGTAGTGTCCATAACACTCTGCAAAGAGTGATTTCTTGATTAATGGATGTTTTGCAGTATATTATTGAACTACTGTCATGTCTGATAATTTCAATTTTCGGTTCTGCCTTCTCTTGTTTGGCCTTCAGTTTGATTAATTAATTTCAATATTCAAATGTTTTCTAATTTTCTGTTATGAAATTTCTTAATAACTTAAATCATAGTTTTCGTTGCTTCTCTGCTCATGTGCCACACAGTTATTTTGGTCAGCTTCACCTTGGTCTATTTGTTGGTTACCCCACACTATGGTCTACAAGGAGTCTAACGTTTGTTATCTTCCTCTTCAATGTTTACTAAAGTTGAAGTAGCTGTAAGTCATATTCACAAAAAAATCCTTTACTCTAAAAATGAAAACTCTACATGGGTTTCTTTGGAAGAATATACGAGTATACCATCTATAAATGAAGTTGATGATTTGTTGGTTGTGTGTGTTGGTCAAATGGCTGTTATAGCTGGCAATGACCTTCTCTGGAAGCCCCTGAACCATGAGGTGAATGTAGAATTTTTTCAGACTTGACCACATTGCATGTTGTCAATGCTCTTAGCTGTGGACCTCAGCTTTAGGTGTTTAAAACTTAAATAATGAGCTGTTCTTATAAAATACAAAGCAAAAACTTGTTTTGGAATCTCAAACAACAAAAGAACTTGTTTTTATAGCAACTCAAACAACAAAAGAACTTGTTTTAACGGTCTTATTCTTCTTCTTATTATTATTCTTTGCCCTATATTATTATTATTGTTATTATTGTTATTATTATTATTATTATTATTATTATTATTATTATTATTATTATTATTATTATTTCATGCATAGGGTAATTTGTTATTAGTTGCTTTCTTACTAGAGAATAACAATGCAAATGTAGGATTATGCCATGGAGTTAGATGAGACACACATACGTAATGCAGCACACTTGATGGTTGCTAGTTTGGCTGGAAGTTTAGCTCATGTAACATGCAAGGTTTCATCTCAAACTGGAGATCTCTTTTGCTGTTCTATTGTCTTATTTTGTTATCAGAAAATATAACATTCTTATCTGATTAGAATCTTATGTTTGTTTGCCTTTGTTACCTGGTGTTTGACAATGATTGTGTGATTACTGATAGGAACCTTTATGTGGCTCAATATCAAGTCAGCTTAGGAATACACTTCGGGGTTCAAATATTGCAAGTGAACTTGAACAAGCTGTGCAACTTGTTACTAATGATAACCTTGATCTGGGTTGTGCATTGATTGAACAAGCAGCAACAGAAAATGTTAGATTGCTTTCTATTTTCTTTCACAAGAATGCATTTATGCATATATTTATTTATCTATCCGTTAATGCATATGTTCACTTCAGTGCTTTTGATTCACATTATGCTTAATTGATAATGCATGCAATAACAGGTAATCGTTTTTACTTTTAATATTTGGAAAAGCTATTTTAGAATGTATAGAAAATCGAAGAATACTTTGTTGTTGGATAAGGTTCTGAAATGGCCCTACATGTTTCTTCCCGAAATGAAGCTTGCTACACAGGCGAAAATATGGCTTAACAAGTGTGGATTGAGAGGGAGAGTTGATCAATCATCCCTAGAAACTTAGAATTCAAGGTGTTAATGCCCAAAAATCACAAAACGACGTCAGAGTTACATGAAACTTGACACACACAACCGTCTAGGCACGAGAGACTTGTGGGAGAAGACGGGACTCGAATCGGGTTCCCGGTTTGGGAGTTACAGCCAGATTTCACGCTAGGCAAACTAGTTCCTTAAAAAACTTAGAATTCGAGGTGTTGATGCCCCAAAATCACCAAACGACATCAGAGTAGCACGAAACTTGGCACACAAGACCGCCTAGGCACGAGATACTTGTGGGAGAAGTCGGGACTCGAATCGGGTTCCTAGTTTGGGAGTTAGAGCCGGATTTTACACTAGGGAAACTAGTTTCTTAAAAAACTTAGAATTCGAGGTGTTGACGTCCCAAAATCACCAAACGACGTCGGATTAGCACAAAACCTGGCACACACGACCGCATAGGCACGAGAGACTTGTGGGAGAAGACGGGACTCGAATCAGGTTTCCGGTTTAGGAGTTAGAGCCAGATTTCACTTTAGGGAAATTACTTCTTTAAGAAACTTAGAATTCAAGGTGTTGACGCCCCAAAATCACCAAACGGTGTCGGATTAGCACGAAACTTGGCATACACGACCGCCTAGGCACAAGAGACTTGTGGGAGAAGACGGGACTCGAATTGGGTTCTCGGTTTGGGAGTTAGAGGCAGATTTCATTCTAGACAAACTAGTTTTGAGGACCAAAGAGTAGGAAGAAGCAAGGGGAGATAATGGCTGATGTTGTCAACATTTTGAGGACCAAAGGATTCACTGGACACTTTAGAAGTGGAGGGGACTCATCCGCAAGTGGACATACTTCTTGATAAAGTATATTAACTTTAATATAACAAATTTTATAAAAAAATATATGTTTGAAGAATTAGAAAGTAATGGAAACATGCATAGGACATCCAATTTGTACAGGTGCACGGGATGTATAAATTGTGAATTAGTCTAAAAAATATTTCTTTTTCTCTATACTTAAAGCTTCAAAAAAGGCCGTCGAAAGGCTAAATTATCACACAACTATAGATTTTTACAGGAACCAACAGAAACACCGTAGGAGGGACCAATATAAGTTGTATGAACTTACAACACATTAATGGGATGCACCATTTGTGAATTAGCCTTAAAATTAATTTTTTGTTCTCATAATCTCGAAAAAAAGTCTGTTAGAGGGATAAATTATATAATTGATCTAATTGTAAATTGATGAGTTACTAATGTTTTTAATCTTTTGTATAATTAATTAATTACTAAAGCTTTTAATTTTTTTTTTTTTGTATTGCAGATTAGATTGGGGTGACATTTTTGACGTGCAACAATGATGTAATTTTCTTGAATGTTCATTTTGTTTGATAAGGATACACATACTTTGTGGAGTTGCACTACTTATTATTAGATGTTTAGTGGAATTGTACAAGTTATAACTTTTGGATATTTTGTGGATATTGCACTATTTTATTGTATTAGGATGAAATTATTTGTAATGATGAATGTATATTTTTATTTTGTTAATTCATAAATGTGTTGATGACAGGTTAGGTTAAGTTGTGAATGGAACAGGTTTCAACATGAATAGGGTTATATTTGTTGAACTAAAATTCAGATTTTGATAAAATAGGTATATAATGTGGAAGAAAATTTTATGAAATTAGTGACAAAATTTTCCATCCCTAAAGAAGGTTTTTTTGTCTCTTATTTGGCTTAGTGGAAGATTAATTTTGTCATAATGTAGACACCCCATTTTTGACCGACCTTAAGGCTCAGACGTCACCGATTGAGCACTTGGTGATGTTGCATATCGTGCTCGTTCAGAGGTTTCAGAGTCTCGGCTGCGAGCCTTGCCTCTAGACTTCCGGACTCTTTCATGCTTTGCCTCAGTTTGCGAACCAGGCTCTGTTTTCTCTATTTTCTCTTCCCGAAGGGAGGGAGAGGTCTCGCAGATCATCTCTTAGTGACCATAGGCTGCATTTCGTGGTCGTAGGTCATTTTGCCCGTTTGGAGTCCGGTTTCCGGGTTTTTTTCGGAGCCGTTGGCCATGTGCCTCAGTTCGGGAGCGCTTAACCACGTCCGTTTGCTCCGATTTTTGGCATGCATCTTATTTGCTCCCTTTTGAGGGACACTGCAGTTCGAAAAATCAACTTCGTGGTCGAACACCACTTCCGGTGCCTAACAGTCAGTTTTCGGGGCCTCGGGCTGCGCGCTGCGGGCCCCGAACCTCCATTTTGCATCGGTTTGGGTTTATTTTTGTCAGGAACCTCTGTTTCTTTGTTAGAAAGGTCGTAGAAGGGTGGAAGGCCAGTAATTGTTCTGACAACTAGTTTTATTCCTCCATCGCCCTCCGTCGCCCGTTTTCCCACTTGAAAGCCAATGTTGACCACCCTAAGGCCACTTTTTCTTGCCCCAAACCACATATTTGTGTTGTACACACCTGGGAGGCCACCAATATCATATGGACGGCCATTAATTGTATTTGACTCTTTTGAACCCCTCCAAAAAGTGGGCTTTTCTCTTTCCTGGTTTACTTTCTCCAGTTTTTGACCACATGGTTGTGTTGTGCACACATGGGAGGCTCTCTTTTTGGCATGGCCGGCCATCAATCATGATTGACCCTTTTGACCCTTGGCCGACCGGCCATGGGGAAGGCCAGCCGGCCACCTAAACCCTAGAAAAGCAGCCGGCCATGATCCTCTCTCCAGGCACTTTACAGAAGTGTATTCTGTTTCCCCCCAGATTTTGCTTGCCTTTATATCCCACTTTTTGGCCTTTTTAGGGGGAAATTTGAATTTCAATTTCCCCCCCCCCCCCATTTTTCCCCCATTTTCTCTCCCTCTTTTGCCTATATAACAGCAGCTCTAGCTCCCATCTGAGGGTTACAAAAATTTGCCCCTAAGCCCCTTGCATTGATCCTCCCTCTC